AAGCTGACGCTAGACAACACCATAAGCGCAGTCAGAATAGAGAAGGTACACTCTTCTACAAAAGTGTACTGACATTATGGGCCTCAACAAACGAGCCGTTAGTTCTGCTTTCTCCAGGCTTGATAAAGAAGCGAAGCGAATGACGAAATATCTCCTCTCATCAAACGAACAGTCATCGCATTCACGACTTGGCTCCCACGTCACTGCTGACAGTCATAACTTTGAAGTCGTAGATAATTTCGTCTACCTAGGAAAAGCTGATAAGTCCGCTTTGAGATTCTTCGAGGGCGAACGATTTATGGTCCTTTGTGCATTGGCAACGGCGAATACTGCAGACGATGGAACGATGATATTGACATAGTTCAGTCTACGCTGGCTAGGTCATGTCGTCCGAATGGATTAAAGTACTCTAGCTTTAAAAGTATTCCATGCAGCAGGTGGAAGCAGAAGAAGAGAAAGACCTACACTCCATTAAAAGGAGCAGGTGGTGGGCTATGATTATAGCGGTGCCAACGCCAATAAAGAAGAGAAAAATGAGTTTTTAATGTGTCAGGTTTTGGTTAAGAGGTATTCTCAAACAAAACAAAACTGTTACAATTTTGCTTTTATCTTTGTGGTTTTTTATGCGCTTGGTAACTGCTGAAGCGATTCTCATCCAATCTTTGGAAAAAAAAATTATTTTGGGTTTGGATATAGGATATTTATCCAGAGAATGGCAATCCCTTCAAGTGTATGAATGACAAAAAAAAGCTCTTCATATATATCCAAGGGCCGTGGCTTCGAAGAAATTGATGCTCCTTTTATTTGATGGAAAAAACACTGTAAAGACTCACACTCCAAATATGAGGACAAACTCCATTGAAAATCGAATCAGTGCTGCACACTTCTTGCAAATATTTTATGTAATTATTATATAATTTTTTCTCGGACATGAACCTAAGTGTCCGGAGTAAAGTTCCTTGAAATACTTTTTATAAATGCTATTTATTATTTTGGAAGTTTTTGATTTTTCGCTTTAATCCTCGTTAAATGCCGTCTTTCCAACATTCTCTACAATCTTGGGAACAGTAATTAGCTGCTGAATGCCAAATCTGGTAAATAAGATTTTGATGCAAAAATTACGATTGACATTAGAACTAAAATTGGCGTGTACAAATTTTTAATTTTAACCATTCTGGACTCTTCTATTTGCAAGTTTAAGCTTTGATTTCTATCTCAGTGCCATATACTCATGATCATTAGCTTAGTCGGTAGCAATTTTCTTGGTAAAAATTCAACATTATTGCAACGAATTTCGCTACAACATGGACATTTGAAATAACTTCTCTGATGTTGATTTGACGGTTCTTAATAATTTTCTGCTTTTCTGAACATTTTTCATTTGTAATGGAGAGTCCAGGCAGAGCGTCACGATTCGCCATCGCCTTGGTATTTGATGTATTTTGTCAACACATTAAAAAAATACTTTAAACAAATTTTATGAACCACTTTTTTTGACTGAAGACAATCACCGAGCACGAAATGTAGTGAACCCAATATAAGAAACTAATATTCTACACATATATGTATATGTGCCCCGTTCGGGCTTACTGTTTATCGACGTAAAAAATCTGACTCACACTACATATTTAATATTTATATTAAAATATTAAAAAAAATGCAAGCGATAAAACTGTCACTGGTATTTAGACAAATATTTTAAATTAAATAAATAAACAGGCAAGTGATTTTATCAATTACGCGTATAAACCAGCAAAGTTAACACAAAAGTCGTTGAGTAAATTTGGCAAGGAAATCGAATAGTGCGAATGAAATTCAAAAATTCAGTCGGTTTCGCAACATAGACGGACTAACTTGCGTGTGTTAATAAAAAAGTTAAATAAATAAAATATATGTTAAAAAAGTAAATGTATAAAAAACTGTTAAAAATGTGTGCTTAAAATTTAAGAAAAACTAAAGCGTAAAAATAAAAAAGATATATTTTAAAAAACTATTTAAAACAAAGTTAATTACAGAAAAGCAAAATATTTATAAAAAATTCAGTAAATGCCTGCGCGACCACTTACAATACCATTTACAAAATACCATAGAATGCCATCAGTGAGATTCAGGTAGGCTTACTATCTAAATACAAACAAAAATATTTCTTTTTCCACTTAAAACAGTTCATACAGTTTTGCCGCAAAAATCTTGAACCTGCGGACCGCAATGAATTAGCTGCTAATTACGATTGTTTACGAAAAAAAAATGTCTGGGCATCTTTTTAAAAAATACAACGTTAAATGTGGTGACATGCAAAAAAAAACAAACACAACAATAAACAATAATGCAATAGTTTGAAGAAAGCAACTGTGTTTACAGAAAATTTCATTTATTTCTTTCGTCGTCGCTACTACAAAAACTACAAAAAAAATAAAAAAATTAAATAAAATAAAAAAAAAAAAATAAAAAAAAAAATAAAAAAAAAAAAAATAAAATTAAAATATAAAAAAATAAAATCAAGCTAAAAGTTGATATAAAAAAAACCAACACAACAATGAACAATTATGCAATAGTTTGAAGAAATCAACTTTGTTTACAGAAAATTTCATTCATCAACGATTCGTCGTCGCTACTACAAAAACTACAAAAAAAAAATAAAAAAATTAAATAAAACAAAAATAAAAAAAAAATAAAAAACTAAACGAAAAAATAATAAAATAAGAAAAAAAATAATTAAACGAAAAAAAAAATAAAAATTAAGAAAAATAAAATTAAAAATAAAATCAAGCTAAAAGTTGTAAAAAAATTCTTTACTAAAAACCGAGTAGTGTGGCGTTAAGTGGCTGGGAAATATAGCTCTTTTTGTTATTGAAATTTTATTTATCAATTCTTCGGAAGTTCCCCAAAAATTTCACTCCACCAAAAATAATAAAGCAATTGTGACGTAATTTCAAATGGACGATCACACAACGACTAATGATATTGATGTGTTAATTGATAAAACGTAATAAATTCACAGTATATATGTATGTATACAACTGTAACGAACCTTAACTATGAACAACGCACTTTCTGCTCTAGGCATTATTTATATATACATATGTATATATACAAAATGATGATAAAATATTTTGTGTAAATATAGCAATATTTTTGATAATAAAATTTAAAAATTGCAAAAATGTGACTTTTTATCATTTTTCTCTTTAGTAAACACGTGTAAAAATGTATCAATAATTAGCTGTTAATGAGTTTCTAATTGTGATAGCTTTCAAAAGTGCCATTTTGTTATCTATTTATATATAGACTAGCGCACATCGCAATCCGATATATGGGACGGAATGATGGTGACGCGAGGCATGCGGACGTCTTCAGCTTTAAAAGGTCCGGTCAGGATTGTTGCTCTGTTCTTTTGTAATTTTTTAAGTAATATTACGTAACATTAGAATAGGCACACCGCTTTTCAAAGTTAATATGTGCGGTAGGACCACTGCTAAGTAAGTCCTAAAGTCCGATCAATTGACATTTTCTTCTTCTTCTTTTTTATTGGCGGGCTGCCGCTTACGCGCTGATAACCGAATCGATTATAGCGCGCCATTCATTTCTTCTGTTTGCTATTTGACGCCAGTTGGAAATACCAAGTGATGCCAGCTCACTCTCCACCTGATCCTTCCAACGGAGTGGAAGTCTTCCTCTTCTACGGCTTCCACCAGCGCGTACTGCATTGAATACTTTCAAAGCTGATGTGCTTTCATCTACTCGGACGACATGACCAAGCCAGCTTAACCGCTGACTCTTCATTGGCTGAACTAATGTCAATATCATCATATAGCTCGTTCCATGGCCTCCATCAATCGTTCGCAAAACTTTTCTAGCGAACACTCTCAAATCCGCAAGGGATTCGCCTTCACGCTTTAACTCAGCTCCAAACGAATATTTGTTAGCTAGCCAGGAAATACTTGATCATAAAACGGGAAGTCGTTTCTGGCCACTCCCAGGTGAATGGCAGTCAAAAACTTTCCTAACTTGTGTGAACTCCCACATAAGGTCTCACCCCCCAATTAGCATTTCGCCATTGCCAATTTCCAGTGACTGACTTGAAAATACTTTGACCGATGGATCATTTTATACGCATATTGGCTTCAACACTTTTTAAAATCAACCTACGCGCAGATTGTAAGCCGCCTTACTAAATAACGTAGCTAATTTCAAGCCATTACTCACACAATAAAGTGTAGACTTGAAAAAAATTTTCTCCTCCAACCATGAACGTTATAAATAATTTTCCATTAGCCTGAAGTCGAAATTATCAGGAGAAAAGGCTTTTAAAAATATACTCACTATTGTGCCGCTGATTTGTAAATCTATTTTCCGTCAACTAAGTTTCTATTTATATCTTGCAAAAATATCTCAAATCTATTGCAAAAGCTTTAAGTGCAGCACAAAAATTAATATTGAAAAAGATTACAATTAACGAAATGGAAAAAAAATAATTCAGCAAACGCGAATTTATGATTAATAAAGTTAATTGCAACAGCTAATGGATTTTGCATATTTGCAAAACACCAAAATATCACTACAACAACAAATTGTGAGAATTCAAAATTATTTTATGCACAAGAAAAACGAGCGTTGTCTACTCGCTCGCTATCATAAATCTCTTCAAGCCATGAAAGAGGTAATGGAAAGAATACAAATTATTTACGCCCTACACACAGTGCAACCACGATATGATAAACCTTATGTGTTTGTAAATTTTATTAGTTTCCTCGAAAATTTTTTGAATTTCAAAAAACTTGTTTTACATTCAAAATTGCTTTTAACATCGAGGCTACACTGTTTTCGCGAAAGAAAAATTATCAATAATGAATTTGCGCAGGTGCTAATAAATCGCGCAATCAAACAGTACTGAGTACATAAAATCAAGTGCAAATTAGTTTCTTCCACTCGGATTTGCGATGTGCGCTTATACTCGTATGTAGTAAGTCGATGCAGCACCAATTCATATGCGAGCGTGTATGAGTGAGCTGCTTAAGCTTTCGCCGTTTCAAACTGTCTTTAGAGAGTTGTGTGAAAAAATGTGTTTCGATACGTTTATGAAAGTTTACAGCATCAGTGGCAGTGTTTTAACCACTTAAACTCAGTTCATTTTAGGCATTCGTGGGATCATGTCAATGAGCGATCCTTATCGGCCGCGTCGATCCTCTCTCAGTAGTTGTACCAGTAGCGCTTCGGTAGTTCTTGCGCCGTTTCGTTTGTGGAAACAGAAACAACGTGTTCACTACCACAATGATATACCAGGAGATGTGCATAAGTTTGTTGTTTAAATAAATATTAAAATTATTAGCAAAATAAATACATAAGAAAAAATATAGTCTGGTGCTGTGCGTGAAAAAAAAATATTCAATTGTAAATATAGTTGCGTCTTGAAGTACTAAGAGTCAGTTCATATAGAAAATTGACACGATGCTTACCCAAACTTTAATGTAATATTAAATTTCTGAGCTTATTGAATTTTATTACTTGTAAATATGTGCCTATTGCTGATATTCACCATATATGTACATGCGTTTTGTCCACTTTTTCCACTACATATTTTTATCATAGTAATCATTCAAGTTTTCTTGATATGTGAATAACTAATTTTTCTTGTAAATAATTTTCATTTAATGTAATTTTCGATTTTTAATTTATTACTTTAAATATATTTTAAAGTATTTACTATTCTCGCCCTCCCGCAAATACAATAGTATATGGAATCATATACCAACAATAATTGGCTTTATCTTATCTCAGATATCTATCTAGGAATACTGCTGTGAGCTCCTAATATAGAACAAAAAAAAAAAAAGAAAAGAAAGTTTTTACAATTAGACAGCGTTACTCATATTTCCATATTGGTATTTTGAAAAATGCTCATCCCTTTCAATTGTTGATTCCATTAGATTTTTAGTGGCCCACCACACGACAATTTTGTGTGTTTTGAATTCTAGCTGGCTAAATCTTTTGAAGGTACTTTATAGAATATCAAAAGACAAAACATTAAAGCACTTTCCCTTGGGATGAGCAAACTCATCTCTCTGGCAAATAAGCTTCTGCTATCAGATTTTCTAATTGCGGTCGCCCTTCGGCAGGGAATGTCAACCCCTCCGAGTGTATTTCTGACATGAAATAAAGCTCCTCATAAAAAAAACCAGCCGTTCGGAGGCGGCATAGTATAAACTGTAGGTCCCTCCATTTGTTGGAAAAACATCAAGACGCAAAACCACAAATTGGAGGAGGAGCTCGGCGGAAAATCGCTTCAGCGGTTACAAAGCGCCAATTATATATTTATATATTTATTATATAATTCTACTTAAAAAACGAGAATGTACCCTGTTATTCCACTTCTAAAAATTTTAAGTAACTCTACTACTCTACTAGTATTTGCAATAATTTTACATATAAATATGTAATGTTCAATACATAAATTTAATAATAATGCCACTTTTGAATAAGAACTATTTTTCGACTGCTTTATTATTCCACTTCTGAAAAACTGCTTCCTTTCGTCGGAGCCAGTAAAGTAATACTTTACATGTTTAATTACTTATTCCACTTCTAAAAAAAGCACAAGAACTGTTTATATTTCCAATCTGTCGTATTCCACTTCTGAAATAATTCAATTTTCTATAATTGTATTGTTTTATTTCACTTCTAAACATAAACCGAAATAATTAAATTTTCTATAAACTCAATTCACAACTTCAATAAACCATATCCCATTATATTATGGGCATATTACACAAATATGCAACAAAAATACTTTTAACAATCACTCACTGTACTCACTCTTATTGCTTTTTTAAGAAAAAATACGAATTTCTTGAAATTGCACTACTAATTAGTGTGATTTTTAATCAATAATACGTTGTTATTCATATAAACATTTCCAGACAGCAGTTAAATATTTACTTAATATATCTCTGCTTTTATATTTATGGTCAAAATTGATGGACTACTGCATAAAGTGCGTCATCAGTTTATGGTAATGACGTAAAAATCAATTGAACTCAAAATATTCACACAAAAATGGTCTAATGTACAAATCCAATCAAAAAAAAAAACGGAAAATAACCTTTACCTTAAGCATTTTTTTATTTCACGTAGTACAACGTAATACGCTAACATTTCTAGTTAACACATTTATTGTTGTTTTAAACAAAATGTGTGATTTTTTAATATTACAAATTAAATTAACTTCGCGTCAACACGTGGACTAAGTCATGCAAAAATAAGAGTTTAAAGAGAAAATTTACTTTTAATGAAAAGATGTATTGCCAAATTAGTAGTAAAATAAAAAACAAGCAACAATACATATAATAAGCATTACTGAAAGTAAATCACTTTATTTCTGGCATAAAATGAAAAAAAGAAAGCAAAAAAATACTCACCATTCACAAAAGTAGAAAATTAGCAAATTAACAAGAGTTACCGCATATGCATGAATATATATATATATATAAACGCAAACATTATTTAGTATTTGTGGGAAATCCTATACTTAAACACCTAGTTAATCCATCCAGCCAAACTCACTCGACTGACTGGCTGACTGGCCAACCAAATAGTCGACTAAATTAACAGCGAGCAATTAGTTGACCGCTTAATTTGTTAACACGCTCGGCACGCTTCCTCATAATTTGTTAGCTTTTAGTCGAGTCGTAAACATCCGCTCATCTCATACTACACACAAAATAATATACTTGTAAATATATGAAATACATTCAAGCACTTGTATGTATGTATATTTATCTCAATATTTGAATGTGCACCATGTCATAGGCTCACTTTCACATTATACAGTGGTGCCCAATGATATAGGGAGTGAATATTTGATAAATGCTGAACGAACGTTACCAAATTATCGTTTTCAATCCTTCAGCTGTGTAAAATATTAAATGTAAAAATATTTTTAGAAAATTCAATAAAATAATTATTGACTGTAATCTGTTAATAACAGAGCATAAAATTTGATTCGAACATTTTTAAACAGCTGAGGCACTTTTTACTTCTACGCCTTTTTTATAATGTGAAAATTTTCTGCTCTCGTTTCTGTAATTTTAAAGTCACTAATGCAACCTTCTCCGAAGTGTAATAATAGTTTGTACATATTCCAAACCCAAGAACCATAAGAAATACTCAAAACAGAAGAATTAGTAATGAAAAGAGCCTTCACCTGCGAAGAGAATGGCAGGCATATCGTTCTTTTGCCTCAAAGTCAATGGTAAAATCAGCAGGAAAAAATTAAAAAGTGCGCTGAAACAAGCAGAAGAAATCATATATAGAAAAACAGACACCAAATTCCAATCCAATCCAAAATATTCACTCTGAATGCCTCATAAGAACTTTAAGCCTACAGTTGATGTGAGTACACCAAGCAGAAACTTAAATATTTGGTAACTCAAAGCGTAGTAACGAAGAAAGAAACATAAAGAAATCTAAAGGCTAAGACTTTATTACACCAAAAAAATGCTAAAAGAGCTCCCAAGAGTTGCACTAGTACTACTCTCTGCGCTCTTTAAAGCCATTCTGAAACATAGTCACTTTCCAAACCAGTGAGAAAATCGCAAATATTAATAAAGTAAAGACCCTACCTCGCTGGCCACGGTAGCCAAGTGGTTAGCATTGCGTACTGCCGTTCGGAAGGCTCTGCTTCAAATCCTGGTGTCGTACTAATATCAAAAAAAAAAGTTATAGAAAATTAATTGAAATAAAAAATTAAGCCTAATTTTCTAATTGCGCCCCTCGGCGGGGAATGTCAACCCCTTGTAATGTATTTCTGACATGTAATAAAGACCTCTCATAAAAAAAACGAAGCGTGCTCGAACGCGGATAAGTATAAACTGTAGGTACCTCCATTTGTTGGAAAATCATCAAGACGCAAAACCACCGCATTGGTGGAGGAGCTGGCTCAAGAATTTACCCGCGGTAAGGCATGCCTGTCGTAACAGGCGACTAAAATCCAACAGTTCCCGCGACAGTCGGGTCTTTATACTGGAACTACCCGGATTTTTATCGGACCAAGTACTATCACTCCCGCAACTTTTCCCAAAAAGCACTTTGGGGAATATTTTTGCTGTTATAACAACAAAAACAACAACAGAAGCTCGGCCAAAAATCGCTTCAGCGATTACAAAGCGCCAATTATAACCGAAAATTATTTATTTCTGTCTTTCAAAATAATCTGTACATATTTCCCTATCCAACACTGTACAACCGCATAAATCTATATGCAAATACAAACGTATTCAACGCGGTTTCGTGCCGCCATATGTAAACAGTTGCAATTATCATGTAATTTCCTCCTAAACGAAGCGCTCGTCAGCCATTTTAGCTACAACATTTGATCAGATATTTGGTTGCAATCGAGTTAACGTTTATTTACTGTTACATATTTAAATATGGAATGTATGTATCAACGAAAGAGTCAAACAGTTTCTTAATATTTATTATTTAGCGAATTTTGGCTAAGTTTTAGTTATTTCTAAATATTTAATAAGAAAATAAGTCAGACTGTGCGCAAAATAATTTTATAGCAAAAATCTAAATATTTTTTAATACTTCTTAAGCAGTTCTGTGCTATCAGCTATAAGTTTTACCGTTACATAATGTACATACATACTAATATAATCTCTATATATAGAAAATCCACAATTGATTGATGACATCGAGGAAATTTTATCGATAAACGAAAATTTTTGCATTTATGAAGTGAATTTACGCAAATTTTTTAAAATTTTTATGTATATTTTATTGGTATCTTATCAGAGGGTTTCTTTTTCATTTTTATTAAATTTACTTAAAATCATTATACGTATAGTAATTGTTGGTAGAAAACCAGTAATTTCTTTTTTTGTACCAAATAACCTGTCACAGACGCCAAGTGAAGTATATTAACGTCTCGTGCAGCCAATTTTTCTTTTTCTTCTTCTTTATTGAACTAGACACCCGTTACACGACTATAGCCGAATCAGTAATAACGAATCGTTTGGTTTTTATTCCACTTTTTTCTTTGACTTTTTTGTGGGCAACAATAAATATTAAGCGAAGCCAAATTGCTCTTCACCTGATTCTTCCAACGTAGTGAAGGTTTTTCCGTTCCTCTGCTCTCACAAGCGAGTACTACTACTTTCAAAATTGAAGTACTCTCATCCATTGAGACGACGTGAACTAGCCAGCGTATCCGCTATCGCTTTATTCGCTGAATACAATTCTATCGCTTAAACTTTCTCTCGAAAACTTCTAAAAACGACTCCGCAGATTTTGTCGTCGTCTAGGCTAGTAGCTAAAACTTGTAGAGTTTGATCTTTGTTTTTCGAGAGAGAAATTTACTTATCTTAAGAACTCGGAGTTATGAGTATCAACAGTGAGGTTAGAGCCCAGACTTGAGTGCGTCGACTGTTTGCTTGATGACAGGAACAGGAAAACCTCCACACCTAGCTCACCACCAGAGTCATTCGCTTCTCTTCTTTATCTATTCTAGAGAAATCAGAACTAACGGCATATGCCAGTAATTGTACAGTCTTGTAAACCATTGTACCTTGCCTATTTAGCACTGCCGCTCTTATTACTTTCTTCATCATCCCCAAATGAAGAAATAACACGACAAAAATTTGCTCTGTCTGAAACCTCGTTTGGTTTCGAACGGCTCCGTGAGGTACTTCCCGATAACAATTGCGCTTTTGGTATTCTTCAGTGTCAGTATATACAACCGTAAAAATTTTGCAGGAATACCAAATGCCAACATATCGTAATGTCTAAGGCGGCACACAGTCCAATCAGTTCGGAGATGATGGACTTTAAACATTTCACTCAGTACGCTCTATGATACCGTACAATGCTAATAGGCGCTGATTGTTAAGTACCCTTTCACATGTTGTTGATTGCAGACTCGAGCTCGCCATCTCCTGACATTTCATTTTCACTGGCATTTAGCTTAAATCACCCTATACACTAGACCTCGATAACCAGATTATCTTTTGGTCCATAAATGAGTGTGCCCCGGTCTTGAGTCCTACTCAAACGGCACCTTATTTCAATCATAGAAATTTTTGAGCATAACCTCTATTAAATAGCTTCTCAAACTAGTTATATTTATGCTTTTCAATCTCTTACTCTCTCTCTCTCTCGCGTCTTCTTTCCTGCTTTAGCTCAGGGTGCGACTATTCTGCTGTCAAACCCAATGGCCGGCGCTATTGAGCTCTCTAATGCAGCTATAAATTTCTTGAACAGCTCTTCTTCTGTCATTGTCAAAAATCAACTGTTTATCTGGGGCTGTTACGTAGAGAGCTTGATTTATATGTATGTATAAATTTAATCAGTTAAAAAGTAGTTGATAACAACAAATCAATAACAAAGACATAAAATTAAGATTTCAGTTTGACGTGTTAAGTTTCGTCTAGACAGAATGTCTGGCCTACTACGCATCCCTTAAAAAAAAAAAAAATTGTTTCTTCTCAAATTTAAATTTTTTTATGTTTTTTATAATTTTTCGTTTTTCCACAAAACAGTTGGACCATAAAATTTCAATCTCTCTGCATGCACGAATATAAAATTATAAAACTTTGCCTCAAACATTCCGCGTAACTAAATTATTATATTCGTGGCTTAAAACAATGGATATGTCAGACCAATATTTAAATATGAGTTACATTTATATATAGAGCTATCCATTTCGTGGTTTCAAAAGTCCAGGGCTGTCGGTTACAGATATTGTAAAGGCCTGAGCATCACTGATTTGCTCGTTTTACCTCAGATGTCGCTACTGTAAATGAAAGTCTAGCCGAAGACCTGAATGTGTATATTTCTCGACATTCTCAAGTGTCGGGATCTGCTTATGGCTCATGATGGCATAACGTAAGCTAGAACTTACATCTACATTAATATAAAGGCCAGCGTACACAACAACTGAAGCCAGTGACTGACCATTCACAACGCTGCATGCCGGTTGGGCGCTTGAACAACAAGCAGTGGATCACGATTTTACGAACAAAGTTTTCTCGAGAAAGGAGGCACATTTCTCGCTCAGGAAAAACTTTAATAAAATAGGTCTTTTTTGAAAGAAAAAAAAATTTTGAAATGCAATTTAATTGCGTTTATTTTCAAGACTGCAAAATTGGCAATCCTGTATTTGTATGTAGATACATCTTACCCTTGGCTCAATCTATTGATTTTGTGGTAAATAAAATTACATATATATATTTATATTTGTGAATAATTTGAATTTGATGAAATCAATCACGCTTTCACTGACACATCATCAATCTTCTTATCAGTTAAGGCGGCTCAATTATGTAGTTGCAAAAAAATATTCTGAAGTCGAAATAGCAACTAAATGTTTTTTTTTTTTTTTTTTGTTTTAAATTGGCACTTTTGCGGAATTCGTACATTTCATTGTCAGTTAAAATTTAAATTTTAAACTCATCGGTTGTGAGTGTTGAATGGTGGTTGACAAGTGTAAATCAAAAAATAAAATTATATATACATAAATACAATATATGTATATATTTAAAGCACGTTACATAATAACATTTATTAAAGAAAAACAAAATATTTACAGTTATTAAAACACCAAAAAGGTGTTTTAAACATTCCTCGTATGTAATTGCTAATCACACTAACAAATATACAATATGCATACGTGAATGTACATAACATGACCGTCACAACTAGACATCACGCGTCTTAAAGCATCACTTAACTTAGCACAGACGCACACCACACTACCACTACTACCCACACCAACAACATTCACTTATTGTTTCCCTAACACGCAGTTTTTCGCTCTCAACTCACCTGCATTTTATTTTACTCCCAGCAAAAATCAAGCGGCTAACAATACCGATTATTTTTACAAAACCATCGAGATAAAGCCAAGATCTGCCTCTACGCCAGTTGCCTTATCTACACCCTCCTACAATCAGTCTACACAATCGAAACGACTCGCACGTACACCCTGCGATCAGTGCGGTTACCATAACGTGCCCATTATGGCACATCCCATCTCGCCACTAGTACGTTCACAAACGAATTTGGAGCTGGTCAGCACGGGTAATGCGCGGCAGGCTTTGTTGCCGACCATTGAGTTGCCGAAAATCGAGATAGAGAAAAATGGTAAACATGAAAAGCAAGAGAAGTATTCGAATGGAGCGTTGCAGAGCAACAATGCGAGCTTACAAACACTACAAGTATCACGGCGACCATCCCTGCTGCTACAGGATATATTGACGCAACGGCCATCAGCGTTGTTTCACGGCAAGAAGGAGACTAACGGACATGCGTCGAAAAGTCCTTACGGGTACAGGTTCAAGCATGTGCGGCATGTTTTTTCTTTTTGTGTGTTTCTGATTTGAAATGATTTATTGAAAATTTATTTCCTTTTTTTTAATTATATATTTTGATCTTTTTCTTCTCTACCACACTTTCTCACGCTCTTCATTCGCTTTTGTTGCTCACCAGTCGATCTCTCGCGGATACCGCCGCCACATCTATGGTCACTATCAATGCACATGGTGATCCCGAAGACCGTCATTATGCCGCAAAACAGTCACAAGTCCGAAATCGTCGTAAGGGCAAGTAAGTTGCAGAGACATTTATTATGAGTTTAATTTTTATTCTTCAACTTTTCTTTTCAGTGACGCCTTGAGCTCGGCTCTCTCTGCATTTTATTGTAAAATTCTAGTCTTAATGGGCGTCTGTTTGCCCATCACAGAAGTGATATCTCATCAGATACCAAATTATGTTTATCAAGGATTCTATGTATATTTGTATATGGGCAGTATACTCTTTGTTGCTTTCCTATATGCGACAACACTGCGAAATCGTACGCTCTTCAATGCGTTGAAAAACTTTCGTAAGTAACTTTTCCTTGGCAGATTCATTCCATACTTTTAAATACCAACTCTGTAAGATGATCGAACGGAGTGGAGGTCTTCCTCTTCCCCTGCTTCCACCGGCGGGTACTGCATCGAATACTTTCAAAACTGACATGACTTATCCAGCGTAGCCGCTGTTTCTTCATTCGTCGAACTATGTCAATATCATCGTATAGCTCGTACAGCTCATCGTTCCATCGTCTGCAGTTTTCGCCATTGCCAATGCACAAAGGACCATAAATCGTTCGCAAAACTTTTCTCTCGAAGACTCCCAAAGTCGCCTCTGCGCCATATAGTAGGACGGGTATGATAAGCGACTTGTAGAGTTTGGTTATCGTTCGCTGAGAGAGGACTTTACATTTCAATTGCCTATTCAGTGCAAAGTAGCCTCTGTTGGCAAAAGTGATTCTACGTTGGATTTCAAGGCTTACATCATTGTAGGTGTTGATGCTGGTTCCAAGATAGACGAAGTTATCTACGACTTCAAAGTTATGACTGTCAACAGTGCCGTGGGAGCCGGGTCGCGAATGCGATGACTGTTTGTTCGATGACAGGAGATATTTCGTCTTGTCTTCGTTCACTACCAGACTCATTCGCTTCGCTTCTTTATCAAGCCTGGAGAAAGCAGAACTAACGGCGCGGTTGTTGAGGCCGATAATGTCAATATCATCGGCGTACGTCAATATGACTACGTTTCTGGTGTTGTTTAGCGTCAGCTTACCCAGCCGTATAAGTTTTACGGGGATACCAAATTCAGACATAGGTATGATAAGGTCCAATCAGTTTGTTGCCGGTGGGCTTCAGTGTTTCACACAACACGCTCGACAGGACCTTATAGGCGATATTAAAGAGGCTTATCACATGATAGTTGGCGCAGATGGGATCGCCCTTTTTGTGGATTGGACAGAGTACACTCGGGCATGCTTTCTTTGGACCATATTTTGCTGACAAGCTGATGCATACACTTTGTCAGCACTTCACCGCCATGTTTGAATAGCTCTGTGCGTAGGCTGTCAGCCCCAGCCGCTTAGTTGGTTTTTAAGCGGACAATCGCTTTTCAACTTCGATATGGTCAGGTAGCGGAACGGCAGGGTTGCGAGGTAGGCAATCTGCTTTCCCTCCACTGCAGTTCGACATTCCTCATCGTACCAGCTTTTCTTCTGGCTCTGCCGAAAACCAATTGTTTCCATAGCGGCGGTACGTAGGGAGTTTGAGATGCCGTTTCACAGTTCCCATATATCAAGGTGCTAATGATTACTCTCAGAAAGCCGGTAGAAAATCCCTCGGCAGTCTGTTGTGATTGCAGCATCCGACGTCGAACCTTCCTTGTGTATGTTGACGGACGTATTTTGATACACAGATCGTGTGCGTATCTTTACTGTAACAAGATAGTGATCCGAGTCGATGTTGGCTCCTCGCATGTGTACGCACGTCAAGAACATTGGATACATGTTTTCCGTCTATCACAACATAATCAGTCTGGTTTTGTGTTTTTAGATCAGGTTGATGTATTTTCTTGTGCTGGAATCTAAAGCTACAGACAATCATATTTCGGATTCCGGTCTATTAGCCTCAACCCATTTGGGGATGTTTCGTTGTGGAGGCTGAATTTCGAGATCGTTGGCCCGAAGATACCTTCTTTGCCTACCTTGGCATTGAAGTCGCCAAGCGCAATTTTGACATCGTGTCATCGCGTTCATAAGTATGTTCAAGGCGCTTATAAAAGCCATCCTTGGTCACATCGTCAGTACTCGGCAACGAAGTCTCTCTCCTATCACGAATCCGACACCAAATTTGCGCTCATTTATATGGCCGCTTTAGTAAATTTCACAATGACTCATCTTCTTCCTTTCTTGTCCCGTCCATCGAATTTTTTGAACGGTGGTGATGTCAGCCTTAGCAAACGGATATTTGTTGGCTACCCAAGGGATACTTGGTCTCTGACCAGAGGTCGTGAGTTGCTTAAGCCATATGCAAAAGAATCGTTTCTGACCACTCCCAGGTGAATGGCAGTCAAAAGCTTTTACACATGGTCCCCATCCCCCGTTCGGAGTTAGCTTAAAATAAACTTTAGGAACTGTAAATCTCCGCCACCGTTGGAAAAGGCAATAAAATATATAAGCTGAGTTTAAGGAGGCTGAAGTTACTGAGCCAAGGCTCTGTCAAAATTTTAATTGCTTTTTCGTACCACTCCTTCGCTCCAACCACACAATGTGCTGTTTCATACTATGAACTATGAACGGCCCCCAAAGGCTTCTCAACATTAGCACCAGCCGTATTCAGATAGTGAAGAGGAACTGCACTGCTGCTTTAGTATTACTAGATTTCTTTTCGAAGTCCTATCCTATCCTATTTGTGATGTCTTCTCTATTTCACATCTTCAGATGGATATTTTTTTGGATTTGGACTCCCAAGATTATTGAGCCTCGACTCTATCAAAGTTTACATCAATTTTACGTTACATATTTTGGTTTCACTCAACTACTTAGCATTCTATTGCTCATCAATCAATCGTATGGATAGATAGTGACGAGTATTTCTTTCGAAAGCAGTAATTTTTAGCATATCGTCTCCATATCACTTCGCCAGTAGTATATTTTCCTTGAGATTGGCCTCTATTTTAAGGGAATTTAATTTTCCTTTATCTATTCCTTCCACTATAGTTCGTTAACGCAACTTTGTGGAGATTAGTTTAACCCCTTTCGACCTAGTTACCGCTCCACAGTTATAGTTTGCTCTACTATCTACTATCATACATCCGGCTAAGAACTTTTTATATTAGTCTGAAGCATCAGTGGGATACCAGTGAGATACCCATTCTTTGCAACACCGTAAACGTAGACTGACATATGGAAATAAGCGAGTCCTGCTCCTCCACTGTGGGGTGTAGATCATCAACCAACTTCTGTCGTTTCTACGTAGGTTTGGGTAGTTTAACAACGGACTCGGAACGCCGCAACGCTGTCAGGCTAATTTTCAACTAGTTTACACTCGCGCGTTCTCCACCTCACCCAAGAAACTTTTATGCTATTATTATTAGTTGTAATCAGTAATTAATTATTCATAATTATTTAATTTTAATATGCTCCAGATGAGGAAAACCACAACGTTCACTTAAAACACAAAGTTACACATTTCGGCAGTTTCTACCTGCGTGTCGGCGCCATTGCCTTTGCAATCGGTACAATGGTTTATTCGGGCTTAGAGTTCGGCCAGTATTTCGAATTGAACGGCAAGTCTGGTTGTGGCGATGTCTTCATTGCAATCACACCGATTTGTCGTATGATACTCGCAATTGTCCAAATACAATTTATATTCCTCAACACGACATATATGGATATGGCTAGACATAAGGTGATCTGCCGTTTCGGTTTGATGCATATGGTGGGAACAAACCTGTGCGAGTGGTTGTATGTATTGGTAGAAGAAACGAAACACGAAATCTATCACATTGGTCATCACGAAAAGGACGAAACTACGGAGCCGATATTTTCTGCTGCCACTTCACATGGTAGTAGTAGTGATTGGAGTGTTGACAATATATCAGTGCAGCATGTGCATCGCAGTGTGGACAGCATGAATAACACTATTTCGACTACAATACAAAATATAGTGACGAATATGACGATAGCAGCCGCTGGCAATGCGTCCGAACATATGACTGTGGGTTGTACACGCACCAATATTATGGGCGCTTTGGTGCAAGAGGTAGCGCCATTCCTATTCCCTTGTACAATCGAATATTCGCTCATTTGTGCTGTGATTCTCTATGAAATGTGGAAGACTGTACGTTCCATAACGGATATTGATCGTTCCAGAAAGAGCTCCATCAAACCGTCACATCACAAGCAAGCAAATCATTTCTCAGTCGATTGTTCACAGTCGCATAAGGGTCTTTTCTTTGGCATACTTATGATTGTAATGACGATTATATCGATGATCATGTACTTTGTACTGTATACACAACCTGGTTATGAAATGATAGCTACGCAAGAGGTCACCATTTGGGAAATCATTACATACTTCATTTGTACGGCTGCTATAATTTCCGGTGAGTACTGTGACGGAAGGCTCATATACATACATACGTATTATATTTGTAAACGATTACATTATATATATTTTACTTATATGCTGTAGGTCTTATACTGATACGCGATCTCAAATATGTGCAAAACTCCAGCGATGACCACCATTCAATGGAACTGGATAATCATTTACTGATTGTGGCGCAAACGGGCGTTTATCTCTATGGCATGTTCAGTATTTTAGGCAGCTACTTCTCCAAATGGGACACGGTGCCGGATCGTATAGAAGGTAAGTAATAAAAATCATCATAATCATAAATTATCTTCGCTCACAACTTTATTGTAACTTCTTTGCTTTTTTCACCCAAAACAGGCATTGTTGCTGAAATTCTCGGTTTGGCGGAAACCTCGTTGCAGACCATGTTTATCTTGCACGCCAGTCATCGCCGTTGTAAAGGTGCAAAACAGGCACGCCGTAAACCAGGTCGAGAGATCGTTACATTTTTACTAATAGTAAATATTGCCATTTGGTTCATCAACACACTGATTAAGGGTCGTGCCGTTTTTCGTGAAACGAATCTCGTATTCTTTGGTGTATGGGGTTGGACTATTATCACACATATCTCTATGCCGTTGGCTATATTTTATCGTTTTCATTCGACAATATGTCTTTTCGAAGTTTGGAAAATCACTTACAAAGCCAAGGCCCATTGAAAAAAAATTTTAAAATATACTAAATATTTATATTGAAAATTTCACTTCCCTACACATTCACCAAAACTAGCTACAATCGGCTTTTTGTTTAGTGTTTATTGTATTATTACGTCTAATTTAATTTAAATATTTATATACTTATTTTAACATTTAGTGCAAGTATTAAAAATTGTAGTTAATTTTGCATTTTTTGCAGTATTTTTCTATAAAACGATAATGTACTCTCATACACCTTTGTACATATATACTTATGTATACACGTTTCAGAGAAAATATCTTCCATGTAGGTAATAAAACAAAAAATAAATATTTTTTAACTTTTGTCTTCTTGTTTACAAAATTGTCGTCCATAATAGCGTTTTCCTTTAGAACCAACAAACTACGCCAAAAGTATTAGCGGAAATAATAGTTCTGGCTTACTATTTCCGGCTGAGTAAACAGCGCTTTATTTTATTTTAGTCAATCTCTTGCTGATCAATGTGTTTCGGGTTAATTTTGAAATGTTAAGCACTATTCTATATACATATTTTTATTTATTATCGCTTTATTTCAATTAAAATGTAAAGGAACAGTTATTAATATTAGCAAATTTGCACTTCTCAAATAAACTGCTTCCTGATAGTTACGAGTTGTAAGAAAACTTTACAAAATGGCGCGTTAGGAAATTTTTAGCTTGACACAGGGTGACACGAACGCTTTGCAAAAATTTCTTTGAGATTTTCATTTGATGAAGATTGTGGTAATAAGGCTTCACCAGCACATATTTTATTTGGAAAAAAGTGATATATTCAAAAAATTTGGTTTACGTTATATATATAACCTATTCCAGAACAAACATGATAAAAATTTCATCAAAGAACGTGTGATATCAAATACGTTTTTTGTCATTACTGTATGCAACGCTGTAATTTCCTTTCAAAAAGGGGAATAAAAAAGTGCTGCTAACACTTAAAACTTCAATGTTTATATAGTAAATTGAATAAAGTAAAATAAAAATCTGATATTATAATTAAAAGATAAGAATTGTGTTAGTTACCTGAGTTTTTCGGATACATCAAAAATCATATCAACATACACTATCGCCTAAAAATTCTTCCGACATTTTTATTTGTAAAGTGAAGCAACACTGTTCGAAAGCGACAGTCATCTTTTGTGCAAAATTTGACATTTTGTTGTTCGGTCACAAATTCACAAAACGCGTCTGAGGTTTTGGTAATATCTTAGTTTTATACTCGTAGTTATAATCAACGAAAAACATCAGTTTTGTTGTTTATAATTAAATCGGTCGTCGACAAACACAAACAAAAAGAAAATGGAAGTCGACGAAGATGATTTCGAGGTACCAACTTCAAGCAGTAAGGGTGAAAAGAAACGTTTCGATGTTAAAAAAGTAATTATATACAATTTTATCTTGAAAATCATAGTCAATAAAATTTTTCTTTGTTTAATTTCTAGTGGAATGCTGTCGCTTTGTGGGCATGGGGTGAGTAAATATTAGGGAACCTCTTTAGCATTTTATCTCGGTCAAACATAACCTTGAAGTCCAATCCTTTGAAAACAAAACTAAAAAGAAATATTTAATTAATGAAATTTTCTATTTCCAGATATTGTCGTAGATAACTGCGCCATTTGCCGTAATCATATTATGGATTTATGTATTGAGTGTCAAGCAAATCAAGCTTCTGCTACTAGCGAGGAATGCACTGTGGCATGGGGTGTTTGTAACCATGCCTTTCATTTCCATTGTATCTCTCGTTGGTTAAAAACCCGGCAGGTATGCCCATTGGACAATAGAGAATGGGAGTTCCAGAAATATGGCCATTAAATGGTATTCAAAAATTCTGCGTTAATGTAGAGTTCCGAAATTCGTATTTCAATTTAGAAAGGAAAACAAAGACGTGCATATGATTTATAACATTTTTGCTCTTAAGCTACAGCGTTTTTTAGTATATTATTATTTATAAAGAAGTAATTTGTCAAATTGATTGCAAAATAAATGGATTTCTATATATAAAAAATACATTTTTATGTGAAACAGCCAATTGGCAAAATTGTAGAAAAGCCTCGTTGTTGTTGTAACGGTAAATGTATTCTCAGTTTCGGGCAACATTGCGCAAGTGACAGTCTAAAATGTTCGGCTAGTGGGATCCCCAGTGTTATAAGTCTATAAAGTCTTTCCAAATGAAGGCGATGTTTTTAAAATTGGCCAAGCATAGGCAAATTTGTTGGAATTAGAAATCATAGTTTGTCTAACGCAGACAGTAATTTTTTTTTTACTCTAAAGCCCCAACATTTGGTACATTCTCAGTTTGGGGAACTTTAAAATAATTTGAAATGGCTAACCATATCTCTGGTTTAAAGCGTAAAATTAATACACTATTTTCTGTTGTAATTTGTTGTATAATCATTTATTTCTTTTCTATAAGGTATACAAATATTGAATTAAACTTTATTTAATGCATAAAATATCAGTTAAAAATAAATTTAATTTAAATTTACATTAAAGTTAGTTGAGATGAATGTTTTATGAGCGATGATACTGATTTAAATGAACTATAAATTACCCGCGAAAAAAATCTAAGTTTTTACAATCATATATGTATATTGCAGATGAACTTAAATTATATGTATGTATGTATTGTATATGTGTTGGCGAAGCGTAAATATTTGAACTAAACATACTATTATGTTCGTACATACATATATGCTTAACTCAGTATACTATTATTATTTATAATGATTGAAATGCACAGATTTATTGGCATTTTGTTTAAAAAGAAATTTTAATGAATTTTTGCGTTATATGTATTATGTTCGACTTCATCGATTAATTTTACAAATATCCGTTAGTTTTTAATTAATTTTTCTGTTTTAGTACATTTTATCACTCATATCTTTATTTTATTTAATTACTTAGTGCTTCGCATTTTTTTTTTAATTAATTTACATTCATTATATTATGCTGTATGCATATTCAGATATTTTGTTTTCTCTTTTATTATTATTAAAGAACACAATTTTTGTTTTTTTTTTGTTTTTTTTTTTATTATGTACATATTAAATTGCGTCATCTTCAATCGTTTTTCAATTTTAATTAATTTTATTATTTTGTTAATGTGTATACTACAGAATTCTACGCACAAAATTAAGATTTTCAAGAGAAAATATAATTGCAGTCCTTAATCGCATGGCAAAATACGCAATTGAATTGTTATTTCTTTAGTGTCGCCAAATTGTACTGTTGTAATGTGCGAACACGCTTCTTCGATTTTCAACTTAAAAAAAAAAAATTCAACTAACTGTAAACTTTACGTACTGTAATTATATCAAGTACTGCTTTTTTAATATCTTCTTAAGATTTACAGTGCTTTTTTAACTCCATTTCACTTTTTTTTTATAGAACACTAATGGAGAAATACGCAAATTTTATCTTCTTCTTTTTACACTTTTCATTTTGTTTTTGTTTCATTTTCGAAATTTATTTTTTGCAATTACTAATTTTTTTGTTATTATTATTAAGATTAAAAGATGAAAACTTTTGAAACAACCGACTTTTAACGCTCTTATAAAAGCTGTTACATAGGCTCCGTTGGTTTTAGTTTTAGCTGTTGTTCTTCAATTCAATGTATGAGATTTTTATTATTAATTTTATTAACTATACATGATTTGCATTCGATTGATTTCTATACGTAATTTCTTAACTATTACATTACTTGAATTATTTGTATTTGCATTAGGATTTTCGTTATTTATATATTTTGTTGTTGTTTTTGTTATTCTGCCTCTATTCTGTTTCATTGTTTCCTTACTAAAATACATATCAATATTATTACTATAAATATTATCTGAGTGGCTATAAGTAGCCATCATCAATTCGTGGCCATTTTGCTTCTTCATGCATATCTCGCTATGGTTGTTTTGGCTATTTTTGTTGCATTGCGCTGAACACCCATGTTCGTAGTTCTTATTGCCGATGCATTCATTATTATTACTATTGTGTTTATTATCTACGTAACTATGTTGTGTAGCATTGCTACAATAAGTCAATTCATTTTTATAATTTCTACATTTTATACATTTTTTATCTGCAAAATGAAATAGAGAAAAAATGGAAAATAATATATGTATATATCAAAATCATACACATATTCTATACAGAATACTTGCATACAAACAATAGTTTTATGAAAAAATGAACAGAAACAACAAACCTACAACTTTCAACATTAAAACTGCTACCCCGCAACACTCAAGTCAGCGATTTTTCACACCACTATTTATGCTTAAGCTTGATGAAAAAAAATTAGAGCAGCAGCAACAAAATTTTAAGGTAAAAATATTAATATAACGGCATGCAATACGCTTGGTACTACAATAGTGATTTATTTATTTGAGTTATTAGAAAATTATTTGAAAATTTTTTATTGTAGCCAGTGCACCAAACACGCTATATCTTGTTTAAGTGAGAAAATTCCGTCTGGGAAACATGGGGAATATTTTTTAATAAAAGGTTATTTTTGTTATTTTTAACTGAAATTTCGAAAAATTCAAATAGTTCTAAATATTTCTGGAAAGTTATGCAATTTTACTTCAAATAAACCACTATTGATTGCACAAGTTTACAAATTACATGTATTATATGCATTTGGATCTATGGAAATTTTCAACGCAACACAATTTTCCTACCCAACTGTAATAACATTTCGAAATGCTTTAATTTTGCTTTTAAAAATTAAACCTAAATGAAAATGTTCCTTAAATATATGTATACATATGTATGTATGTACAATACGTACATAACTTTATTAGTTCTTATTTAACCACACTTTTCACCATATTTTTTTTTTTTTTGTTATTTTTTCCTAATCAAATTTTGGATAATAAATGCCTCTAACAAAAAAAAAAGAAACACCACTCATAACTTTACCACACAGCACAACAACAGTCACATGGGAAAACAAATTATACATGTAAAATTTTCAATAATAACTTTGCAACAACAACTTATGCAAATGTAATGCTATGCCGTAACGCGCCTGGCGTATCCAACAGCAGCAGCACCACCACCATTCAGCCAAGAACACAGCCACAACTATAGCGTTAGCAGACGACGCCTTATCCCTGCCCAATTCATAAACGCAATTTACAATGACGACCCGCAAATAATGAAAAATGAAGGTCAATTCATGAGGAGATCAGTAGCTTTTTTAACCATCACAGTGGCACCACCCACCAACGTGCCTATGCTTGACATTGTCGACGCTGTGTTGGGTGCTGTTGTTGTTATTGGCACATTGTGTGCACGCAACGACGCATTTGTTGCCATCGCACTGTGTCCGGCCGTTCCTGTTGTCGCGATCGCACTGGCAGCCAATGTCAAAGTATGTCCGCTAATGCTGCTCAAATTGCGTGCGAAAGTTGGCGGCGGCAGGAGGGCACATGAGCCGAATGTATGCTTCGGTGCGCTTGCCTGCGATAGGAATAATGGCGGTGCAGGAAGCGTTGTTGTTATACTATTCAAATTGCTGCTCTGTATAACAGTTGGTGCTGCCTTTGGTACGCCTGCGTTCGCAACAGCACCAGTGAGTGTATGCTGCAGAAAAGTATTAAAACTAGGATGTTGTTGAATAGCGTCTGCAGCAGACGATACTGTGGAGGTCTGCAGATGTTGCGGCAAATGCGTAAAGGTTTTATGTTGCAAGAGCGGTGGCGCTACAACAGTATTTGGCGTCGACGCCGGAACATTCGCAGATGGGCTGGGTGTCAACGTAGCAGCAGAGAAGGCTGTGAGCGGTGTAAAAGGCGTTGGCGTTGGCGTTGCCATTAGAGGCGCTGCAGTACTTTGCTCCTGTCGCTCCTGTTTGGCATGCTGCAATGGTAACGACGTCGACACCGATGCCGTGGAACAGGCTGAGGCAAAAGTTGAGTTTGTAGATGAACTCGAACTCGAGTTCGAGTTGGATTGTGGCGAAATTGCTGCCTCCGTTGGCACCGTGGAGGACGAGTGTGAAGCGTTTGCCAACAGTGAGACGTTTGCACGTGTGCTAATACTAGTATTGGCACTGGCACTGGCACTAGTTTGCGGTGTTACAGCAGACGATGGAGTTGTGGTGTTGGTAGCATTCGAAGCAATCGACCCACTCATATCGCCCGTCTCATTTTCATTGTCATCACACTCAGCACTGCTGCCGCTTGTATTGAATGTTGTGCTATTCAGGCTAGCATTCGCACTAAGCGCTGGAATGTCAATTGTGTGCGTCTCATTACCAAATATTAAACGAAGCCGCTTTTTCTGTGGTGTATGTACAACACCACCGTTAATATCAGACGCCACGGCTTTAGGACTGGACTGAGCAGCTGGTACGCCCGGTACTGTTGGCATCACCTCTGCACCAGTCGTTTGCAATACTTCATTTGGGTTGTCATTATCGCCATTATAGCGATGATGTTGTCGATGTCGACCACGATGACGATGATGGTGATGGTGCTCCTTGGCTTTGTGACGCTTCTTTCGTTTCAGTGGTATGGTTTCAAACTCCCCACCATGTTCAGATATACCTTCCATACGTAGAATCTCATATTCAACAGGTTCGGCTGAATGTGATGAGGCCCGACTAAAGGATCCATTAAAACTGCTACTCTCATCACTGAGGCTTGTACCAGATTCGATAACCTCATCGAGAATGGGTGAACGTTTCATACGCAACGTCAGCTTTAAACGACGTTCTGGCGTTTTCATCAGCGTGTCCACGGCTGCGGCAGTAAATGCTGGTGTCGTGTCTCTTTCTTGCCTATCCACATTTACCGTCAGGCCATTATCAGCGTTACTAGTACCATTGCAGCTGTTGCTATCGAACAATTTTTGCTCTTTATTTTGAGATAATGTGCGTTTGCGGGTCGATATACCATTTGTTAACATAACAATGTGGTCTGACCTCGTATTGCTGCGTTGTGTACGACGTGTAATGCGCTGTTCGTGGGTATGTAACACATCTCGCGAAAAGAACTCCTGAGCCAATTGCTGTGTATGCTTTGCACTTAAAGATGCTTCATCAAATGATCCTAATAAATTTTTTCGATAACTAGGACTAACACTATTTCTATTATGAACATTATCATCTTGTAAGTTAGAGCTATCCTGTTGTGTTGTTGCTGAATAGCGTCTGCTAGCCGGTAAACTATCACCCGCATTTTTCAAACACTTAGTTGCATCATTATTATCACTACTGTTACTACTACAATTACTGCTAAAACTACCGACATTACAACTACTGTTACTACTATAATCATTACGATTCGTATGGGCATCAGTGGCAGTTGATTTCACGTCCAGGCCATTATCTGATTCGCTGACATCACTATGGTGTATTGTGAACAGATGTTGGTTATGATTGCGCAAAATACGCCCACCGCCGTTGTTTGTCAAAGGAGCGTTTGCGGTGGCTCGATTCAGTCCATTGCGCGTGCGTATTGTTCTTTCCGATCTCTCACTATTTTTTATTGTTGCAGCAGAAACCGAAATACTCTCTTCTTCTTCATATCCATTCGTCACTTTTTTACCATTTTCTGCTACATCTATGCGTAGTTTCTTTTCTTCATCACAAAACTCTTCTGGCATTGCAGTCGACTGTTTGCTTTCTTCGCTTTCCTCTAAATGTGTCACAGCTGCAGTTCGTGTATGCCTGCTAATACTACTGCGAGTAACGTAGCCGCTAGGTTTGTTGCTCGTGTTGGCTTTCTGCAATGTATTTCCAACACCCCTCCTTATTGTGCGCCGTGATACGCTTGTGGCCGCGCTAGATTTTGGTTCGACTGCAGCATTCACGACATGAGCTTTCGCAGCCGCACCGCCACTACCCAAACGTGTTACTGCTGTAGCGGCACTTGCAGGCTGCTCATCTGCGGAACCTGAGGAAATAGTGCTGCTGGTGCTATTAACTCGAGCTGATTTTCGAAGAGAATCTCGACCCACGTTAAATCCGTTGCCACTTCCTTTGCTGATGAGGATTGCATCTGCAGCCTGTTTGGCATTCCCGTCTTGATGATGTGTATGGTGTGAATGATGATGATGACGTTGGTATGTATTGGCCATGATCATTTCTGCATCGTACTTGGTCATCCCCTTTTGTCGTAGTTCTTTCATGGTTAGTGGTGTCACAACTACGCTTGGTTGTTGTTTCTTCATATTTTCAATACTAACACCGTCAACGGCACTACTTGTTTCACCATCTACATTCTTTGCAGGTTGTGCTCCAGACGAGCATTCAGTCATGGTCGCAGCACTAGTTGAACAAGCACTGACATCTATGTGGGTTGAATTTGTAGAGTTGGCTCGACTTTTGATACGATTAATGCGATTGTCCGTTTCACGAAGTCGGTAACCGCCGCTGACAGATGGATCTTGTGAGTTTATGCCAATTACACAAGCTCCATTCAAACCCATCGCCAAGGCACTAGCATCACTACCTGCATGGCCTTTCAATGCTTTCCCTGCAAAGGCGCCCGTTCCGCGCCGTTCACATGTTTCACACTCGCAGTAGCAATTTCCATCGCCGAAGAAGTCCTCACCGTAAAAGCATGTAATTTCTTCACCAATTTCGATATCTCGTAAGACCTTCACACAGGCAGTATCTCGGCCAGTTGCAACAAATTTACAATTTGCGCGACAATCATGATTTATGTAGGCAGCCGGACCAAGCCATAGCTGGGCACAGTTTTTTCTACAGCTGTACATTACCGAAAAATCATTTTTGCCTGTATGCAAAAGAGCTGCCTCCTCAGCTTCAGACAGCTCCGCGATGCAACCAACTAGGCATTCGATTTTGTCATTCTTTGACCAACGTTTTGTTGAGCTGATCTTCGCCCCCTTTTGTCCTTCGAGGGAATAACGATAGCATGCCTCAATCATAAAGCCACTGTCCTTGTCAAACACGCGTAAATAACGTATTATCTGAAATATAAAAACAAAAACATGATTGAATTTTTCAAATTTAGGCCAACAATAACAAACTTACATGATCATGTAGGCGTTTAAATGTTATCTTGGTTTTACTTTTAAAACTGCGCGGTATCCATGGCCCATTGAAAATTTTTTTGACGGCCACCTCATAATTTTGCGTAGCAATAAAATCATCTACAATAGATTTCAACTGTGCACTATCGACTTTGAGTGGCCGATATCGTATATTCATTTTATGAGTTTGAAACCCCAGATGTGGATCCAATATTAATGAAGTCGCTAGATCATCATTCTCCGAGAGTTCCTTTGGTGTCATGCCGGTCGACTGTGAAAGCCGTATGACGCTGTTACCGGAAGAACCATTTGTGATTCCATTGCTTCCTAATTGATAGCCGTTGTTAAACACATTATATGAATTTTGATGACCATTGGAACCGCTACCACCGCCACCATTAGTATGTGTAGACATTGAGTTGGATTTGTTAGAAATATGATGATGACCGTTGTTATGTGCGGAATGATTGTATCCAGAGGTACTGCTGGTGGTGGAGGTGACCGTGTTGGATCTTATATTGTTGCCAGAATCACCACCACCACGTCGCTGATGACTTGAACCAACAACCATTGTTGTCACACTTACTGCTTCTGTCCTTGATGCCAACGCACCTGCACCACAGTTAACAGTCACTGTAAATAGACACAACGAAAACAAAAATAAAATTAATGCCAATATGGCAAGAATTATATTACTTTAACTAGTTGGCAATCATTGAATTATCAAATAAACTTAATAAACAATAACTATATTTATCCGTTACAATGTACCCTTAAACGTTAATGTGCGATATAAATAGTTTTCGAATACCACAAAATTCTATTGCATAAACGCCATTTTTGAAAATAAATTCGATTGATTTTTCCAATTAATTACATTCTCCTAATACAAAATCAAAGTGATAGCCAGAGTTGTCGGTTCAGCAAAATAATCAATTAACCTCGAATCACCTTTTGCAACAAAACCCGAATTAATTTTGAAATTTTTACAAAATAACATACACTGTCAATAAACTTCCAATTTACGGGTTATTCAATAATTATTATCAAAAAAAAAAAATTCAATGAAACGCTCATCCACAAATTTTTTAGCATTATTGAAATAACATGCCTGTTTTAAGACTTCTAATAGCAATATAGTGGCAACTACGTAGCCAATGCGCTCGATGAAAAGGGCCAGTTTTCGTTTATCAATTCAGCTGCAGGTGCGAGTGAAACATTTATATTAGCAAACGAAAAACGTCGCTACACCGAGCAGCGCTGTCGCGACCACACATCAGCTGTCGAAGCCGACCGTTGCTGCCACCATTACAATACCCGCATGCTTTTCTGCCATTTTTCCACAGCAATAACTGGAAAATTTAATGCTTTTCTATTTTTTTTTTGATGCGGTAATGTAATCCAAAAAAAGATCAAATCTTGCAGTTTTATATTATTTAGCTACACTTTAGAAAAACAGTTATATTAGCACTGCACCGTAATAAAAAAATAGAGTTAACTTTCGTTCAATATACTTCAATTAGCACTGACAGCAATATGTGTACTCTTGAAGACAAAGGGATCATCACTTTATGAAGTCTACACCGAATTAAACATATAGGCGGAAGTGAGACGACACCATAACACGATATATCTGGAAAAAATGACCAGCCAGCGTCCACAGCAAAAAAATGAGAAAATACAAGAAAAAATTCTCAAGAACGAAAAAAAAAAATAAAATAAAAGAATTTTTTTTAACCCGTTTTTGCAATGAATTACCAAATTAATTTCGGCAATAATCCAACTCCCATAGATTTGCAATGCTTTCGGATGTGTTTCTGTAATGATCAATCTTGGATATATGAACCTTTTAATTTTTTCACCCAATTCTGCCTTCCGTTTTAATTTTTCCGACTGCTGTCTTGCTGTCTAGCCGTCTGTGCTAGCAAAGTACTCCGCGAGCAAGCTCTCGCGTACAAAACACAGAAGTTTCAACTTCTTTGTTTTCGCTTTCCTCACGCCATTACACCCTCTCGAAAAAATTTTCTTTTCGCAACCACTTTCGGTTTCGACTTTTGTTACAGATAAGCTCAAATATTGCTGCGTAAAAATCATAAAAATATATATAATCCTGAGTTCACGTTCACTTCACAACGAATAAAAAAAGAAACAGAAACCACAAAAATTCTTAGCAGCGTCTTTGCCTTCGTTGTAGTTGTCCTCGTTCGTCGTCACGATAATAAACTCGTACCGAACCAAAAATTGTCTGCCATAATCCAGCATAACATTATGAGCACGCGTGCGATATTTTATTGCATGTTGGTCGGTTTACAAAAAGAAGGTAGTTTTAATACAAATGTTTGTGTTATTTATTGACTATCCGAAATAAAGGGATCTTTTTTCTTTTGCTTTATCGTTGTGCAACCAATATCATTTATTAAATAATGATATTTAACTCTTCTTAAATATATTCTTAAATATGAAAACCATTTTATTATTAACAAAAAAAAAACTAAAATGGTGAAACGTACTCCCAAAAATGTAAAACCTTCCCGACGTAAGTTGAAGAGTTCTAATAATTTGGTGTTAAATTTCCATATTGACCGACCGGAATTGTCGAATAAAAACCATACATGTCATAATGGCCAAAAAGGTTCAAAGCGAATTTAATTTATTAATTTTATCATATAAAATAAGTTTTTAAATAAATAATAGAGAAACGCGTTTGCCCGTTTGATTCTACTCTAGTAAATAGAAGAAACTTCTTAAAATACGTCATCTTTAATGTATTCCAGGCCTAAAATATGCCTACCCATTTGGTTTTTTATTTTTTCTCAAACTTACAACACAAAATCAAACAGCAGTTATGTTTGTTACCTCCTATTTCGCTGGTAACAAAATTTACAGGGTAACAGTGAGCTCAGAATACGAAATGGTAACAAAATTTACAGGGTAACAGTGAGCTCAGAATACGAAATGGTAACAAAATTTACTGAAATACCTCGGCCTGTAAACATTTGATTTTACACTGTATGTTGTATTTAAATGGAAAAATCACATAAAGTTTATATTTTACTGACATATGTAATGATATCAGGATAAATTGATTAATTAGCGAACGAGAAATATTTATCTAATCTATTGATATAATCAATTTATGTTGTTTTGAAAGTCTTATGACTTAGTTTTCTATGTTCTCATAGTTGAACCATTGCAATGAGAAACTATTTTTCATTCAATAAAACTGAGCAACATGAAAATGCAATTGAAATTTTAAAACCTCAGGTTGTCAAACAAAAATTTACAAATATACACCGAATATATTTTTTGACGTAACAATTTTTCAGCATATTTTTTTTTAAGTTCACCCAACATCTAACATCCTACCTCCTATCAGGATGTCCGATATAATGGAGCTATCAGATGATATCTGTCATATATTTTGTAAATATAAGGAAAAACAAAAAGCTGATCTTTTCCGTACGCTCAATGATGTCAAGTGCTGTGAATGCGGTCATCAGTCGCGTATTCGAAATGTCCAAAATAAAGTATGCGTGTAAGTTAAGGAATTCAAATAAAAGCGATGCTTTGAATAATGGTTTACTTTTTCAGTTATCGTAGAATGACATTATTCTATCAATTAATTTTGGCGATACTAACGTTATTGCTCTTGATGACCTGTTATGCATTGTGGGCGGCTAGACGTTATAATCACGTGCGGCTGTTTGGGACAGGAGCATGTGCGTCAACTTTCTTGTGGACTTATAACGATTGTATTGTAGCTCATTAAAATTCTTATTTGCTATATATATATATAGCAAACATATATGGATGTATTTATGTATGCAGTAGTATAAAAAAAAATCAGTTACTACTTGTACTGCAGTGAAAATATGAAGTAAGTAAGGCATATGCAATCAAGCACGGAAAATTTGTTTAAATTCAATTCAAATCGATGGCTGGTTACTCATTTGTCCAAGGCAAATTCACACACGGTAGTATTGGGTTGCCCCAAAAAAAACCGGATGGATATATAGATGGCGGTCACAATTTTTATGAACAGCTTATGCTATTTAGTTGTATTTTTTCTTTTGACAGCTATAAGCTGTCACTTTTAGCTTGCTTTAGAAAGAAAGTACCCGCAATTTTTTTTACATTTGCTTGTTTTGGAGACCACAAAAATATTTTCGCCATATTTTACTTTATTGTTTTCTTAAAGAAAAAAATGCAAGCGCATAATTTGTATGGTGATAGGGCTTTAAAAGAAACATTTTGTCGAAGTTGCTTTGTCAAATTTCGTTCAGGAGATTTATCACTCAGAGATGTGCTACTTTCAGGTCGGCCAAGTGAAGTTGATGATGACGATGTCAAGGCTTTCATCGAGTCGGATCAGCGTGTAATTGAGTGTGAGATTGGAGAGAAGATAATTATACCAAAATCAACCGTTATAATTATAAATGACGTCTAGGACTGGTAAAAAAACTTGATATTTGGGTATTATATAAATTGAAGGAAATTCATTTAACAAGTCGCTTCTACGCTTGTGATATGCATTTTAAATGCAATGAATATGATCCGTTATTGAACGAAACAAACCACTTCAAAAGCTGATATACACCAAAAGAAGATTATGCTGTCATTTCGGTGCAATTGGAAGTGTGTGGTATATTTTAAGCTGCTTACAAAGAACCGAAGAACGTATATTAATTTTTATAATATATTAATGTACGTTCTTTTTTTTAACTTACATTTCAATTCGCCTTAAATAGTGCAGTCGGCATGCAACCTTGCTGTATAACACTTGGCATGCAGCCCTGCTGTATAACACTTGGCATGCATACCTGGATATGTATTTTTTACGTTTGTCATTTGCTATCCGTAAAATTATTTAAAGCTGGTGAAGTCTCCTAGAAAATTCATTTGTGAAAATTCGCGAAACTATAAGAAGTCGTGTACGGCGTTAAATTTAATAAATTATCGTAAAGGAATTGTTATTTGTGGAAAAAAGGTAGGTTTTTTTTGGAAAAAAAACAGTGAAGAGTTTACCTGTATACATATATGTATGCATGGCGTTATTGTTCGTATGAATATGTACATGTTTCACATGCATACATATATATATTTATAAATATATATATAAATATTACCGTTCGAATGTGTGTATTTAATTCTTGGTGTGTTCTTCATTTCAGAAATAGAATATCAAGATGCCTATTACCTTGCAATCTTCCGACAACGAAAATTTTGAGACCGACGTGCAAATCGCAAAATGTTCGGGAACAATAAAAACAATGCTGGAAGATTGTGGCATGGATGACAGTGAAAATGCTACAGTACCATTGCCGAATGTAAATTCAGCTATACTACGCAAGGTACTTACCTGGGCAACCTATCACAAAGATGATCCCCAACCAACCGAAGATGATGAAAACAAAGAAAAACGTACCGATGATATATCATCATGGGATGCTGATTTTCTAAAAGTTGACCAAGGCACATTGTTTGAATTAATTTTGGCCGCTAATTATCTGGATATAAAGGGTCTACTAGATGTAACATGCAAAACTGTTGCTAACATGATCAAAGGCAAAACTCCAGAGGAGATTCGCAAAACTTTCAATATCAAAAATGATTTTACACCAGCCGAAGAAGAACAAGTGCGTAAGGAGAACGAATGGTGTGAGGAAAAATAAGAATGTTAACTGTTAATTTAAGTAATATTTTCTAAATACCTTCACTCTTATAATAACATATGTATGTTTAAACAGAAACAGCAGTGCTAACAATATACAACAATAATCAGTTTGAAATTTTAATCAAAATTGAAGTTTTGCTGAGATTACACACAAACTCGATTAACAGTAAAAAGAAAAGAAATATTAGAATAAATGTGATTTATCCATAAAAATGTTTGTTTTACATTATACTCTTATTATGCATATGTTAAAAAGCATAAAAATGTTTATGTGGGCACATAAATGAAATATTTTATGCTTACAGGCACGTACGTTTTATTTACGGCGATTGTTAATTTTAATTGATTATTGCTTATTTTTGATTTGAGAGTAATGTCAAATCGTATAAATTTGACTTAGCTCAAATCGTTGAAATTTGTCCTACACATTCACAAAAAAATGATAATTTTTGAATTTGTTTAAATCTTTCAGAAATTGAGTTGTATAATACATACATACATACAAACATAGGTATTTCAAAAATGGTTTTTGGTGCGAAAATTTTCTTATTAATTGCATTTTGTCACATTTTACGTTTTGAAACTTACACTTGTGCATTAAATGAAAGCAAGAAAATATCTAGCGTACATTCCGCTGAATCCGGGAAATACACATTTCTTGTGACGGGTGGCTATCGTCCTACACAAGATACGCTAACAAAACATCTTGTTTCCATAAGGGGACCAAAAGAGATTAAATCATTCGGTGATAACCATTTTTGTGGCGGCTCCATAATATCGCCAAAAGTTATTCTCACGGCAGCACATTGTGTATGCAAAAGGTATCTAAAAGTATCTACATATTCAATAATGTGTGTTGAGGAGTAATTAACAAATTTACAAATTTTTTGTTTCTCGTGCAGAAAGACTCGATTTCTAAAGGAGCCATCAAAAATAATCGTTGTTGCAGGCACTCCAAAGCGTTGTGAGGCCGCGAACACAACACAGATAATGAAAGTTGATAGAATTGTGAGACATACGTACTACAACCCAAAGACCTTGCGAAATGATATAGGTATTTTAGTCTTGCAGAAACCTATACATGAAGATGGCATTTCCGCACAAAGTATAAATCTTACATTAAGTCTTACTCCGTATTCAACTGTTTGTACTGTTGTTGGTTGGGGTCGTGTATTTTATGTGAGTACAGCAGGTTTTCGATAATAAATTAATACTTCAACTATTAAGGATTTTATTATATGCAGAATGGCCCTTTCCCAAATCAAGCGCTCTACGTGAATGTCAGTGTATTTGAAGACTCGTACTGTAGTTCTGTAACAAAGAAGTTTGCTTATGGCATGTTTTGCTGTGGTGATATCTATGATCATCAGAGGGATTCGTGTAGTGGAGACTCTGGTGGACCCTTAATTTGTAATGGTAATCTGACCGGCATTGTATCCTTTGGTATTGGTTGTGGTACTCCAAATACTCCAGGTTATTATACCAATGTTAGTTCATATATTGATTGGATTCGTAAAAACGATTCTAAGAAAATAAGGCCTGAAATTTTGTCAATATTAGCAAATATATTCATTGGAATAAATGTTGTTTAACGTTGTAAATGCGATTTGAATATTGTGCTGATTCGGATACTAAAAACAATATATGTACATATGTACATACCTATCTTGAGTACATAGTTAAGGCAGGAATAATGAAGGGATTCCGAGAAAATGTTCAGGTAAGTTTTATGCTAGCAAGACGAAAATTGTTGAATTTGGTTAGGTATACCTGTACTCAGTGGTGTGGACAATAGAGAAAAATCTTTTGAATTGTTTCTCTGAACGCCATTCACGGAGAGCATGGCATGAACTCTTTTCTGCGAATTACATCGCTCAAAACCAATCGTTTTTCGCTGATGAGTAGCACAGGGTGGTATTTTAGTGGGTAACAAATAATATTTGACATTACACTGTAGCATACCTGTGATTGATGTCGCCTTCGATGAGGTTGCACTACACGGTGCCGTAGGGCTCAGCCCTCACTGTCGCTATTTAATTGTACAGTTTTATCTGCAGTGTACATGAAATTGTAATGAAACACGTTACTAGCACTGTTGTTGTTGTTGTAACCGCAAAATTATTCCCCAAAGTACTTTTTGGGGAATGTTGCGGTAGTGACAGTCCTTGGCCGGATAAAAATCCGGGTCGTTCCGGTATAAAGACCCGACTGTCGCGAGAACTATTGGATTTTAGTCGCCTCTTACGACAGGCATGCCTTACCGCGGGTAAATTCTTGAGCCCCTAACCCGCAGGGGGTACGTTACTAGCACTCCTTATAGGCGATAGCATTCCCCGGCTCTTTGCTATATATTACTTGTATTATTCCCGCGGCTGCGGTAGCCGAAACTTTATTTCATGTCAGAAATATGTTCGGAGGGGTAAACATTAAATTTCCTATTACTTTTGGATGTTGGTCGCAATGGGATTTGAACCCGAGCCTTCCTTATGGCAGTGCGCAATGCTAACCACTCGGCTATCACAGCCGCCAGCACCATATTCCCCGAATATAGCACCTTGTGATTTTCGGTTACTACCAAAAATGAAATAAAATCCAAAAGGAAAGCTTTTTAATAGCAAAGAAGTGGATCTAAATGCTTAAGAAATGTATTGAAATCAATTGCGATTATGTAGAGATTACGAATAAATACAAAAGAGTTTTTTGGTCATGCCCCCTTCTATATCGGAAATCACGGTATCCCTTCCTGTTAGCGGTACAATCAGCCGGAAACAAAAAAATAAAAAGAGATTTGTAAAGGCTGCAGAGACTTTATTCTCAAAAGCACCAGGTATTCTGAGAGCTTTGATTCACGTTAACTTTGTTTACATTAAATTAAAAATGAATTTTGGTGTAAAAATTATTATATTTATTACTTTTTATAATTTTGCGCGACTGGAAACGTATATCTGTGCAGAACCCGTTGACAGCGACCTCTCTCTCGCATATTTATTAAAAAACGTTACCACCGATGATGAGACAAAGGGAAATGTTTTTCTCATAACCGGCGGCTATCGTCCCACGAATGATTCGTTAATAAAACATCTAGTTTCCATACGAGAAGCGAAAATCGATATGTTTTTCGGTGACAATCACTTTTGTGGTGGTGCCATAATATCGCCAAAAATCATTCTAACTGCAGCGCACTGTGTCTGTAAGTCGTAAGTGAACTACATTGCGTTTCACAGGCTACACAAGGAAATTCGATATGTTTTATAACATTTTTGTCAATTTAGAAAGAGTCGATCTCGAATGAAGCCGTCAGAATTTGAGGTTGTTGCTGGTACACCGAGACGTTGTGAGCGGACCAAAACTACACAAATATTGAAAGTTGACCGCGTTATTAGACATGATTATTATAAACCTCAAGCTTTACGAAATGATATTGGGATTTTGGTGTTGGCGAAACCCATTCATGAAGATGGCATTTCAACTCAGAGAATACCTCTTCGAACCACCATATTACCAGCCAATACACTTTGCACTGTTGTTGGTTGGGGCCGTGTTTTCTTCGTAAGTATATCGTTATTTATATTAAAAGAAATTCCAATGCGCGAACTTGTATATACATATAATTGGCGTCCCCGTCTAGGACCGACCACAATTAGAAAATATAATTTAATTTTTTTAATTTTCTATAACTTTTTGGATGTTAGTACGACACCAGGATCTGCACCTGGGCTTTCCGAATGACAGTTCACAATGCTAGTCGCCCGACTTCAATGTTATTGGGAAGTTGAGTTGAATTCACTTAAGCCTTTTGGCTCATTGTGATGCCCTTATAAGAGGCATATCACCTCAGATGCGCGAAACTTTTGGTACGTCTAATAAAGGCTGATGTCACTAAGCAGCATTTTTTAGACAATCTGATTCGAGACTTAATCGGTCGTTCCGCGATACCTAAATGCTGCTGTCATTGAGTTTTTGATATAAACTCTTAAATAATTACAACAACTATGATGGCATTGTGTTTCCGCGCTCTCCACTTTTTGACCTTTTCCGGCACCAGATAGAGTATTATTATTATTACATATTCCTTTTCAGATGGGACCAATGCCCGACAGAGCACTTTACGTTGATATATATCTATTGGAGGAGTCTTATTGTAAGTCTCGTAATGAAAAATATGCCTTTGGCATGTTATGTGCTGGTGATGTTAATGATTATGAAAAAGATTCCTGTACCGGTGATTCTGGTGGTCCTTTGATATGCAATGGAAGTCTAGCGGGCATTGTTTCGTTTGGTGTAGGTTGTGGTTTCCCCAATAATCCAGGTTATTATACTAATGTGAGCGCATATATTGATTGGATTCGTAAGAATGGATTTAGTAAATTACAAATTGAAAATTATCTATTAACATTTTTATTATTAATTATTATTAGAATAAATAATTTGTATGTTCAAACACATTAAAGATATGTAAGTAAGTCTCTTATAGTTGGGCTGGATTAAATGGTAGAAACTTCAACAAATTTTTTCTTGCCTTGGGAACTTCGATTACAGACCAAGACATCGAATTTGTTTTTGTTTTTGTACGTACGCCAATGCAGGCTGAAGTTCGGGGTTCAAAATAAGTTCTACTTTAATATAGTTTAATATTTTTTTAGCACAATGGGCAACTATCACACTTCCGACACTAAAAAAATACATATATGTAGGTAGGTACAGCATTATTTTGCTAATGTGCACACTAATATTTCTTTCGTGAAGAGCCAACTGGCCAAACTTCCTTACTCTGATTTTTAAATAAACAATGTCGGCATAAAACAAGTATAAGAAAGCATATTTTTGATTTTAAGAGAAACATAAATTAAACGGAATGGCTTTAATTACTACTACTTTTGTTATCGATAAATTCTAGCAATCGATGAAACTAATGAGATTTTATGAAAAGTAAATTGTAATTAATTGCAATTAAAATTGTACGACATATATACACATTGTGTTTGATTTCAAACATACACACAAATTCTTGCTGCCACAAGTAAATACATACATACATGCTTACTTACATATGCATACATTTCCTAGTTAGTTAACAACAAAACCGCATTTTAGCTTAGTTCGCTGTAAGCATACACTGCGTTTACATTCTATTGAAAAATATACGTAAAAACATTTATTCCCTTAGTTATTATTTTTTCCAAAATAAAATGTCACTAAATGATTTACTAATTCGCACAAAAGATGGAGAAATCCTGGAGACTCGAGATAAATTATTTGAAAAATCTCACGTGATACAGGAAGCCAAAAAGCTTACAGATAAAGATGGCTGCATATCGTTAAATAAAATAACATCAAACATTCTACGTCGTGTAATAATATGGGCGGAAAAGTGTGAGGTGGAATCTTATGATTTGGATAATGATGAGAGGGAAAAATGGATTAATGATTTCCTAGATGTGGATAATGAGACTTTATTTCAAATAATAAGCGCCGCTGACGAGTTACATCAAAAGGATCTTGTCAACAGAGCTACAAGTAAAATTGCTAACGAACTTAATGACAAATCAGCACCGGAAATAGCAAAATATTTCAATTTACGTTCAAAAAATGTACATATTTAATTGTCTTTCAATAAATGAAAAAAGTTAATAAATAATGGCACACATTATTTTTATATATCACCTGAGTTGATTTAAACATTTTACTTAATCTAAGCACAAGTTAGTAAAATAAAAGCGTCAACATTTAAGTGAAATTAACCTTCGATTTCGATGAGTTCGCCTTGACGTGATCGCTGTGATCGTGGTAATGAAAAAAAATTTAAATTATTTCATGAGAAACCTTGGCCAAAAATATTGCAATCAATTTTATTTCATCACCAATTAATTAGCCATTGCAATTTCATTAATTTTTAATTTAAAATGTCAATTTAAAAAAATTTCCAATAAAGTGGCATCATTGAAATGGCAGCTGCTTGCCGCTCACATGAATTTATTTGTGTGTTTGCACATTCGTGTAAATTTGTGTGCATTTTTCTCTCACAACTATTGTTGCGCTAAATTATTTGCGTTAATTTTCTGTGTTCTCTCTGTGTACGCCTTGTATGACAATTAACTCATATTTTTGGCATATATCTCATGTCAAATAAACAAAAGTGATTAAAACAGTGAATATATTTGATTTAATATCATCTGAGAAGTCAAAGGTGTGTTAAAAAATGTGTAATTACGTTGTTTAAGCGCGTAATATAGCAACATTGCTATTTCTTGCTGCGGGTGCGAGGGTGAGAGGAACGTCTGCTATCAGCAAAATAAAAATGTGCCAACGTAACGTAACTAATAACGCTACGTAACGTAGCTTTAAATAAGAAGTGCCGGATATTTTTGCTGTAAATTGTTGGCATAAGTGTTGCCAAATATCGTGTAATTTCTTTGTTTATTTTTGTTGTTCAATGGGCTTAGAACGTAAAAAATTTGCACGTTGGTAAAGCAGTGCGCGCCTATTGGCCATTAACTTTGTGAAATAAATACAATTTTTTGTTTACATTTTGAGCAGCAATAAATTATTGATTCCTTCAAAAAAGTGTTGTGTCTTTCTTGACATAATTTAATTACTAAAGTTATTGGTAAAATATAAAAAGCAAACTTCATCAACCATGGATCAATTTCAAGCATCATTGGATCCGCGTAAACAGGAGCTGCTAGAGGCGCGTTTTCTTGGAGTCAGGGTAGGTATTTAAATGATTATTTGAAATTAAAGATAAAAATCTTAAATAAAAGCGAAAGTGTGCGCGTTTTTAAACGTATGTGTGTGTATTTATATTATAATATAATCAAAAGCCCGTGTGTGATTTGTATAAAATTCTGGTTGTTGCAAGCAATTGGTTTGGCAGATTCATATCTTATAAGTGGTTATCGAAAGCGTCCAATTTTGTAGCGAATTCTTTAACTTTTCTTTAATTAATGTTATAGATAGTGCGGTATAAACATGTACATGTCAATAAGAAGAAAAGTTATGATTTATTAGTTGCATACATACATATCTGATTTGTGCATTTCAAGTATTTGGAGAACACTTGAATATTTACTATCACCTACAATGCAAACGATGTTACATGCAAAGGAATAAAATATTTGAGGCATACTTATGTATATGCATATCTGATTATTTGATAAGCGTTTATCTTTTTTTCCAACAAATGGCGGAAGTGTTTTAAACAGACTCCGGAAGGCTTATGGATTTATATGTGCAGCTCTGTATTATCATTCTCTCATTTAGCGTTTAAACGTTTTTTATATAATACAATGTTGGAATGCTTAAAAAAAATATGCAAGTGATGAATAGTGAAAATATTTCACTTAAATTTCAAAAAAAAAAAAAAAAAAAAAAAAAAAAAAAAAAAAAAAAAAANACAAAAAAAAAAAAAAAAAAAAAAAAAAAAAAAAATTCTGCTAACGCTTGGTATGTAATGGCATGTCTACCTAGCATACTTTCGTTTACATTTTTTTTTCATTACTTTCTGCTAAGCTTTTCGGGTTGTATCTTATTACTTGCTTTACCATTTCGCGGTCAACATTACAAACCTAGCCAAATATCTATGTGCACATATGTATATAGATATACATTAACCGTGGGCATCGTCATTATCTATCTGCATATGGTTGACGATGTGCTGCTCTCCTACTTAAACACACATTTTTATTCCTACTGTCACAGTCTTTTGTTGTTTTCAAAGTTTACGCCTTTTTGTGCGATAGATACCTACTCTAACTTCATTATTTCCTTTGCCACCGCCAGCCACCAATTACCAATGCTAGCATTTTCAAGTGTTGTGGATGGCATTTCCAACTGATAGCCGAGGCATTTTGTTGCTGAGATTTTCAGTTTCGTTGCAACAGCAACGCTTTCAGCAACGTGCTGTCTGTGCGGTTTGTTTGCCATTTACCATTTGCCGGTTACCTATTTATAATATAATAGTTGTTTTACATTGACTTGTGACTTGATTGCGTCTGAAAGGCTTTGCTAGATGGTCTTTAGTGTGAATGTTGAGAGTTTTGTTATTTCATTCGATAGTTGCAAAAAAGTGACTAAGCAGCATTATTCGATAGTATAAAATAGAAGGCAGAAAATATTGCAATGAGAAGAAAACAAGTTTAAGTGTATGAAAATATTTTCGTATCCAAAGCGTGAAAAGCTTAAAAACATTGCCGCAGAAAAAATATAAACGTGGAGTGCACGAGACATAACGAATTTTGCGAATATTCACTCTGCGAGAAGGATATACAAAACGTTAGATTAGGTGCACCATCGTGTAGACGAGTGACGAGTTGTGGACAACAAATAAAACCAAGAAGCAAAACGAACACGTTATGCCACTCATTAAGCAACGAAAAATGAGTCGTTACAAGGTTAGTGCCATGGAAAAGATTATTTAATTGAAGCAAAATATATGTATGTAGTTAAAAATTAGGTACTGACAAAGAAATTTATATAAACACCTGCATACATACATATATACATATATAAATGTACATATGTACAAAGTAATCTACAAGTATGCACAGAAAAATGTTAAAAACAGTGTCATATTTGAAATTATTGGTCAAATCAAAACTCTAAGTTTTCCCAAAAATCATATCACACCGATTTTAAAAATATGTACATACATATACATATTAAATATATATATATAAAAGAAGTAAAAGTTCATTGAACTTGCCCTACACAGCAATTCATTCTTCTTGGTGTTGTGCTATGGTTGTCTTACATAAATTTGACCTGACCTAAAATGCGGAAATTCACCGTTTATATGTAGAGCAAATTGTATGGCATGTATGCAACTCGAGAGGCATAGATAGTAGCGAGTGTACAGCATGAGAGCGAATGTGGCGTTGACACCAACGCTACAAGGTAATAGTGGCACCATCATCACTGAGATGTTTAGCCAACCAACTAACCACCGGCACCAAGCTTCGGATTTAGCAAGAATCACGAACGTAGTTTAACGACAGTTGTTGTGGGTAGTGAATGAGCGGCAATTGTACATACGTGTATGTGTGTAGCTACCTCTAGAGAGAAAAACATCCGAGAGCATATAAAGCACAAAACATTGTTTACTGCTATTAACAACAGTTACCGTAATCAGTAATATTGAATTTCTTAAACATTTTTTTAATAAATTAAAAATTTTTGACATAACACCTCAGCGCAAGTGAGATGTCTTTACATAGAGGTGGATTTTATTATTATTAGGCCAAGTAAAAAGTACGTTCGGTTTTTTTTTTTATTGATTTTTCAAAATATGATAGCTTTGTGTACATTTGTCCGGTTTTAGTCAAAAATGCGCAGTTTTGCTCGTTAACTTGCTGCCAACGAGATGCCAACTTCATTATACCCCTCTCGTAGAAGGCTGCGTCGCTATTGGCAAAAAACTCGGATAGCCAATTTTAACAGGCCTCTCTTCAGGCCAACTTCTCACCATTAAGCGCGTTCGCCATGGGCAGGAAAAGATGATAATCCCTTGGTTTCCGGTCCGGACTCATAGGTGTGTGCATTAGGACCTCCCATCCGAGCTCCTGGAGCTTCTGGCGCGTCACCAAAGATGTGTGTGGCTTGGCGTTGCAATGATGGAACACAATTCGGCCTCTGTTGATCAAAGATGACCTCTTCTGTATGAGTGCTGCCTTCAAGCGGTCCATTTGTTGGCAATAGAGGGCCGAATTGAGCGTTTGGCCATAGGGGAGCAGCTCGTAGTAGATTATTCCTTGTCAAAACCTTCCTGGCCGTCAATCCGGTCTTGGCCACCGAGCTTTGACCACGACCGTTTGCGCTCGATATTGTCGTAAGTGACCCCTTTTTCATCGCCAGTCACAATCCGCTTCAGAAACGGTCGATTTTGTTGCGATTCAGTAGCGGTTCGCCGATGGACATTCGGTCCATCATGTTTTTTTTGCGTTAGTTCGTGTGGCACCCAAACATGGAGCTTCTTTTTGAATCCATTGCAGATGGTTCCAAACGGTTTGCTGGCTTATATTTAGTTTCTCAGCAATTAAATAAGTGTTCACGTGACGGTCTGTTTCCACTATTTCCATGATTTTATCGCAATTTTCGACGACAGGCCACCCGACGAGTGGTGTATCTTTGACATCGGAATAACCGGAACGAAGCCTAGCAAACCACTTTTGTGCTACACATTCGCTTACAGTATCGGGCCCACAAACTAAATCAAATTCTTCAGCCGCTTTGGCTGCTTTTTCGCCTTGATCGAAGGAAAATTGTGAACATAACGAATTTTCTCTTTGCTGGTGTCCATCTTTGATGAGCGCTCATAACGTACTGAGTCAATCAATCCAAAAACTGTCAAAGACAAACTTTTAGCGCGAATAAACACGTTTTCAGTGCCGTATAGTATGACATGATGCGACACATAGCACTAGTACTAAGGGCAATAACGCCTTCTCTTAGATAAAAACCAAATGAAGCTTTTACTTTACCAATATATTCTTCAACTGCTCAATTATGAGGTGATCATCTGAAATATTCTGTCATTGCCTATGGGGCAAACGAAATCTACCGATTTTGAAGAAATGTCAACCCCTCTGCATGAAATAAAGGCTCCTAA